TTGTAATTTTGCAAAATAATTTCCAAAATAATTTTAGAAATTCCTTAAAAGTAAATCTCGAGGCTGTACCATGATCTACAAAGCGTCTGGCTACCATCTCTATTCTTCTAGTCCTTGTACCATATCCCCACTGGTATCCCTGGTGTTTCAAAACTTGCCAAACATTAATTTAAATTAAATTTAAATATACATGTCAGAGCCTTTGTACTGATTTGTTCCCTGTGCCTGGAATGCTCCTCCCAGAATATGCAAGTGTTTTACTCCCTCCCTTTATACAGTTCTCTGCTCAAACATCATTTCTCAGAGCGATCCATCACACACCACGTTTTATCTCATCCGTTTCCCTTGCTTTATTTTTCATCACAGCACCCACTAATGTATGCAGTATATCTCATTTTCACCTGTCGATTTATTGTTCCTACTCTCTGGAATAATGTTTTACATGCAGGCAGTAATTGTTGAGTGAATACATGAGTAAGAGCCAGAGGACAGTCTATTAAGTACTTGATTTGTGGATTAAAGTTCTTTCCAACACAGTGTTGCAGTGGTATTTAAAGAAGACTACTGTCTGTAATACATCTTGCAGTTTTTTGCCTCTGTGCTTCTGCTCATATCATTATTTACCCCTTCCATCCTTTTCTCTCCGACTCCAGATACTTTCGTCAGAGTTCTGCCTTTGAAACTTTCACTGAACACACCCACTGTCTCTTTCTGAACCCCCCGGGGCCCACGGCACTCTGTCATTATCCCTCCCTTGTCTCGTGTATCATCGGTCTCTGTTTATCTTAATTCCCCAACCATAGGCTCCATGAGTGGAGATTACATTTATGTATTCTTTTTTTTTTTTTTTACTTTACACTTTCATATACAATTAAAATGGAATTAACTTTGATATTTTTGCTACAAGAAAAACATTTATTAACAATTTTGAATCCCAAAGAGTGTACTATAAGGAAATGATCACTACCATCAATGTTCAGACATGCCAACACACACACACCGCATTCTTACTAAAAAATGTGATTATACCATACATGTTATCTAGTAACCTGCATTTTTAAAAATACCTTAAGATCGTATCAGGGATAATGTTCCATTTGATGGCTATAAGCCTTCATTGTCACTTTTTTTTTTTAAGATTTATTTATTTGAGAGAGAGAGCATTGAATGAGTGGGGGGCGGGGCAGAGGGAGAGAATCTTTCAAGCAGACTTCCCGCTGAGTGCGGAGCCCAACGCAGGGCTCATTCCCTTGACCCATGAGATCATGAGCTGAGCCGAAACCAAGAGGTAGACGCTCAACCAACTGAGCCTCCCACGCGCCCCTTCACTGTCACTTTTAATTGCTGCCGTGTTTAGTTGCATTTAACCAATCTCTTACTGACTGACTTTGAAATTGTTTGCAATTTTTCACTATCATACATGTGTGATGTACGCTTTTAGGTGCGGTGAGAAATTTGAAGAGAGGGTGCCTGGGTGGCTCAATCATTAAGTGTCTGCCTTCGGCTCAGGTCATGATCCCGGAGTTCTGGGATCGAGTCCCAGCGTCGGGCTCCCTGCTCAGCTCCCACTCCCCCTGCTTGTGTTCCCTCTCTCGCTGTCTCTGTCTCTGTCAAATAAATAAATAAAATCTTAAAAAAAAAAAGAAATTTGAAGAGAGAATAGATTTCAAATCTTCATGATGGGAGGGCTGGAATGAGTTTACTAGAGAAATGCTCTTCACATTTTTTTTTTTTTAAACTAATGTGCCCCTTAAAGGAATTTTGAAAAACTTATGTGCTTTTGCACTTTTAAAAGTTGATATGTATAGTTTTTATTAAATTTAAATACATTTAAAGCCCATACTTTTTGGCAAATTATAAATATATACCTGTCAAAATTGAACTGTGACATTACTTTTTAAAATGTTTCTGACAGAATAAAAATATAGTGATTTGATATCTACCTTAATCTATTTTTTAGAAAATCATGAACTAGCTTCTCTTTAATGATCTGAAATGCTATACAGTCCCTTTTTCTTCTTGAACTATTAATTCTATTCTACTTTCCTTACAGAGTCTATGCTAATGCAATATAGTTTTATATTTGAAAGTCTTTTATTAATCAACCATTGCAATCAGATTTGTGTGCATAAACATATTTAAAATTTCCTGGGACCATAAGGTAATTTGTTAAATGCTAAATAAAAAAGCTGTTTTTTTCTCCAACTAGATAATATATGTATGGATGAGTGTTACTTGTTGGTAGAACGAAATAGGAGCAGCATGAATTTTTTTCTTATTTTCCATTTTTATAGATGTAAGTGCTGAGAAACATTTTCATGTAAATCAAGTGGATGTGACTGGGAGGAACTTTGTTATAGCAGTATCTCTCAATTCTTTGAATTCCTCCTGAGTTACTTGATAATGTGTCGGTGAAAAAACATTTTTAATGATCTGTTGGTGGCTATACAATTATGTTTTCTGTTTTACTGAAAGTAAAGACCGCAGTGCTAGAGAGATGTCTTAGGGCACCAGCAACAGGCATTGGTAGGAGCACATTTGATCTTGATGATTATGGACATTCCATCTACCACATCGTGTGCTTTGCTCCAGCCCTGCCAGGCTCCACGCGTGTAGCCCAGAGAAGGGGAGAGTTGGATTCAGTTAAGGCTGAACCTCTACCAGATGTATGTTGACTAAGAACTAAAAAATATGAAATAACAGGTGGTAGAATCTAAGCTGGACAAGGACAATGTGGAAGAAGACCACTGGTGGACTGGGGAAGAGTAGAGAGGAGAAGGTAAAGGGAAGGCTTTTCCAGGTGGAAGACTGGTTGGAGTAGTTGAAATGGCAAACTGGAAAGAGAGGTCATTGTGGCCTGATATGTGCTTCAGGATTTTTGGAGGTGGAGCAGCTGTGGGTCATGAGCATGTCCAAGGTGTGACCGTAATATGAAGTTCGTGAACTCCATTTGTTCATTTGTTTATGAACAAATTGCTGGAAAGGAGTTCATGGAAATAGGTGGTCATGGTGTCAAAAGTCCACGATGATTTTCAAAGGAATGAAGGCAGGGCTTGGAATGGAGAGAAAGAATGTGAGGCAGGCATCAACACATCTAGACAGTGAGAGAAAGGCTCTTGAAATCTGGAAGGGGCGGGTCTTAAAGGAATTTAGTTTACAAGAAGCTGCAAGAGAAATGGTTTGGGAAGGGGTGTGGTAGGTATGGAAGGAACCAACTCATTGCGTGACTCTGATGTGTGAACACCTGCCATTTGAGAAGAACAGGGAAAGCCATGTCCTCAGGGGAGAGCCCCAATTATTAGAAGGAGAAACTTGTATTTATGACAGGCATTTTACTTCTATTAGACAAACCACAAGCTTACTTAATGGGTTAGTAAAACCTCATGGGATGCCTGGGTGGCTCAGTCGGTTAAGCGAACGACTCCTGATTTTGGCTCAGGTCATGATCTCATGGTTGTGAGATAGAGATCTGCCTCAGGGTCACGCTCAGCACAAGTGTGCTTGAGATTCTCTCCCTCTCCCTCTGCCCCTCCACACCGGCTCACGCTCTCTCTAAAAAAAACAACAAAGAAACAACAAAAAACCTCCCTCAGTTTCTTCTAGAGTTACTAGTTCTTTCAGTTTCCCTGTCTCTCCAGAATGAGTTTTGATCATTTATATTTTCCTCAAAAACCATTTATTTCAAATATATATTCAAATGTGTGAATATAGTGCTTTACAAATATTTTTATGTAGGTATGCATGTATGTGATTTATGTATTTAATGGTAAATCAGCTCTGAGTTATAGAGATAAATTGTTTTTGTGTTTTTTAAATTAATTATGGATCTGCTTTGATACTTATTGATTCAAATCTGTTTTTAGGATCATCAAATTATATTTTCTCATTTGTAGGAATTACATTTTCATTTTCTCTTCTGAGATAAAAAAAATCCCATTTTTTTTAAAAAAGCATATCATCAATGAATAGAGAAATCAACATTTATTTTACTTTATTTTCAGTTCCACAAACTATTTTTCAGACGGTATAGTGCCTTGCTTCTAATTAATTAGATACATTTTATTTAGCAGTCTTTTTTCAGTATTTCATGTTCCATAAAACATTTATTCTCCCAATATTACATTTATAAATGAAATGCAGGATATTTCCTGCATAGATATTCCATTGTCCCTTGTTTTTTCTTGCTTTGCAATCCATTTTTATAGGGAAGGCAATAACACTATATTTAAAAAAGAATCGACAATAGATACAATGTGTCTAGTATTTAATATATTCTAGGGATGTGCTAACTTCTTCACCACAGTTATCATATTTAGTCATTACAATAGCCCTGTGAAGTATGTACTGATTATATCTCCAGGGTGCATTGGCGAGACCAGACCAAGAGAGAATAAGAGGCCCATCCAAGGTTTCCTGGCTGTTGTGCATGGGCTCATCAGCCTGTGTGAGAGATCGCTCTGTTAGCATCTCATCCACAGTACTAGAAAAATATAGCAGACCTCTTTATGGCAGATGTCCAGCACCAGAGCATCAACATAATTCATGCTAAGATTTGATTGTCAGGCAATTATTATGTGCAATTATATTCAGTGTTAATAACTTGCCCCGTGAGATCCTACTACTGTACTCCGGATGTGAGTTTCCTTTAACAGCCTAACAAAAATCTTTTATTCATCTGCAGTGAGGTACACTTTCTATAAATAATTGTTTCCTTGAATCATTTGGGGGTGTGGGGAGACATAGGTATCAGTTAGCCATTTTTAATACCCTGTATCTTCAAATTAGAATTTTTGAAGTCTTACTTGTATCTGTAGAAAGGCAGAAAAAGAAATTTCATGCAGTTTGCTTCCTTGGACAAGCAAAGGCAAACCCCTATCTTTTTGCCTCTGAACTCTATCCCATTTGGTTATCGAACACCTTTTAAAAAGATTTAGCTATGTAACAACGACAAATGCCTATGGCTCATTAATTTGTGATTCTTCTCTTTCTTTCTTTTAAAGATAGTGTTTTTAGAAGAAGCATCCCAACAAGAAAAGCTGGCCAAAGAATGGTGCTTCAAGCCGTGTGAAATAAGAGAACTAAGCAACCAGTAAGTCACAGCCAACTTCTTCCCTTTCTCTGGTTAACTCTTGCCCTTCACTAGTCTCAGATGATTAGAAACCTGCCTTGAGGGATGGAGAGGCTTTGTGTTTTTCCTTCCAGGGTGAGGTGAGAAGAAGGGAATTCGAGAACAGGAAGCGGAAGGATGGAAGCTTTGAGGACAGGAGGCTGCCATCATCCATTTATTTCTTCAGCAGATCTTTGTTGAGCTTACTGTGTGCAACACCCAGGATCTGGAGGAGAAAATGATCTGTAAAGTCTTTGCCCTCACAGGGTTTACAGCCCACGGGGATCTCAGAGAGTAAGCAGGTACACAGGTATGGAAGCTCGCCAGTGATAGGTGGTGATACCTTCCGTGAAGGAAATAAAGAGGGAGGGAGAGAAAATGCCGGGGGTGGGGGTGGGGATAGAGGTTTGGGGAGCACTAACTGGCAGCATAGTTAGGGAAGACCTAACCCCCAAAGCGCACTTGAGCTGTGGTTTTATGTTGTGGGTTTTTAAAAAATATTTTATTTATTTATGTGTGTGTGTGTGTGTGTGTGTGGAGAGAGAGAGAGAGGGGGAGAGAGAGAGAGAGAGAGAGAGAGTGAGCAGGGGGGAGGGGCAGAGGGAGAGAGAGAAAGAAGCAGACTCCCTGCTGAGCAAGGGCCCGACGTGGGGCTCGATCCCAGGACCCAGAGATCATGACCTTAGCCGAAGGCAGATGCTTAACTGACTGAGCCACCCAGGTGCCCCATGTTTGGGAGGTTTTAATATTTGTTCAAAACGTGTTTGCTATGATTGGCTCACTCTCTTCATAGCCTGGTTGATTTGTTTTATATAGATGGGAATACTTTATTTTTTTAAAGATTTATTTATTTATTTTGGAGGGGGAAGGGCAGTGGGAGAGGGAGAGAGGAGCTCAAGCAGACTCCTTGCTCAGTGCAAGCCCTATGCGGGGCTCGATCTCACAAACCCTGGATCAGAGCTGAGCCAAAACCAAGAGCCTGCCGCTTAACCAACGGCGCCACCCAGGCGCCCCAAGATGGGAATACTTCTTTGAACTCAAAGATTTTATCTTGTTTCAGGGCAAGTATGTTTCCAAAGTCAATGGAAGTTCCAAAATCGATAAAGATCACTTTCATTCTAAAGGTGTTTTTATCACTTGGGAAGTGACTTTAGAGTAATGTGGTGAGAACAGTGAACTAGGTGTTGGAACGCCTGGCTTGAATCCTCTCACTGCAGCTTGAAAGCAAGTCACTTCCCTTCTCTGAGCAGAAGAGTTGTTCTCAGGGATCGTGGATGCCTCCCCCACACCCTGCAGCAGCTTTGTGAACTGGGTTAGCCGTAAGGCTTTGAGGCAGAGGGGCTGGCCACAGTCCTGACAGACGGGGTGACTGCTCATAACGAAGTTTTGGTGCACTTACATTTGTGTTCACGTTTCCTACCTGCTGCCTCTCTCTGGGCTTGGAAGCTCTTGGGCAGTGGGCCGGAAAGTGAATCCAGTGGGCATGGAGATAATTCTAGCCCCTTCTGTGTTATTGTCTGCTTCCTCTTGCTAGATTTGTATGAGTGAGTGGAGGATGGAGTAGTTGGAGGATGGGGGGCGGGGTGAACACTTCTGGGGGTCTGCAAGGCCTTCTGTTCCTCTTTATGAGGCTGCTTTTGGAGGAAAGTCCATCAGACAAATGTAGACTCTGGGGTGCCTGTAGGCAGCACGCACAGAGAAGTGGTAAGGTAAGAAAAAACATAAACCTTGGTTGAAGACCGAAGTCTTTGTAGAAAAACCTTATAGCGAACACACGAGATATGTGCAGTTGAATTTCTTTAAGTCACAATTAAGATACCACAGAAGATGGAGTCTCTGACAGTGTGTTTAACAGACTTACTGTACCTGCAGGTCTATCTCAGCACAATGTAGATTTTCTTTCTTTTTTTAAAAAATATTTTATTTATTTACTTGAGAGAGAGAGAGAGCACAAGCAGGGGGAGTGGGAGAGGGAGAAGCAGACTCTCCGCTGAGCAGGGAGCCCGACGCGGGGCTTGATCCCAGGACCCTGGGATCGTGTCCTGAGACGAAGGCAGATGTTCAACTGACTGAGCCACCCAGGTGCCCCACGATGTGGATTTTCTTAAGTGAAAATGACAGCCGGAGCGCCCTGAGCAGAACTCCGATAGAAGTGGATCAGATCGTGGCCGTGGACCATAGAAAGGGTGGCAGCGCCAGGATTAGGCTGAGGCAAGTGAGGCATTCACATCCGGCGAGGAATTTAAGGATGGTGGGGAAGGCGAAAATCTCAGGAATCAAGATAAGTAATAGTTTGATGCAGTATTTTTATTTATTTGTTTGTTTATTTATTTTTAAGATTTATTAATTTATTTATTTGACAGAGAGAGACACAGCGAGGGAGGGAACACAAGCAGGGGGAGTGGGAGAGGGAGAAGCAGGCTCCCCGCCGAGCAGGGAGCCCGACGCGGGGCTCGATCCCAGGACGCTGGGATCATGACCGGAGCCAAAGGCAGAGACTTAACGACTGAGCCACCCAGGCGCCACTGAGGCAATATTTTTAAAAATAAAAATTAATGCAGGGCGCCTGGGTGGCTCAGTTGGTTAAGCGGCTGCCTTC